TCTGTGCCACCAGGTACCAACCTCCTCCCTGACTGCTACCATCGCCTCTGTGCTCCTTGGCCCCTGCCTCACCCCTCTGCTCCTCACTCCCCCCGCAGCACTGGAGCAGAGCCCGCTCTCACGAGCGCAGAGCCTGGTAGTTTGCTCTCTGATTCGTCCCACACCCTGTGGACACTGGCGTCCCTCTGAGGAGGGGAACCAGGGCTCTACCCACCAAAAGCAAATGACTGGTTAACAGCTTGTTCAAAGGGTTTCAGAGGCACCACCATCTCACCTCAGACCTCTGGATGGCTTCCAGCTTGCCACACAGGGGTCCAAGTCAGGAAGGTCACTCTCACCCTAGGAGGAAACACTGACACACGCTTTCCTGACTCACTGCTCCTTTCTAATAAGCTCACGTGCAAAACAGCATCTTGTTAAAGCCCAGTTACATGAACTCTCAGCACTGCATGCCCCCTGCCTTCAACCCGTACCTACTACACAGACTTCCTCATCTCTTCACTCAGAGAATTAACCACACTTCTCGTTCCTAAAGCAAAACACACTTACCTACAGCCATTCCAACTGGACCTCCCAGCAGACCCCCAAGAAGCGCTGTTGGAATTCCCAGCAGAGCTCCTCGAGCAGAGTGTTTGACAGCAGCTTTCATCCCCTTCTCCTGAGAGAGGTGGCACAACAGTTGAATCACATCCTCAACTCTCTGGGACATCTTAATGAGTTAAGATACTGAAAAAGATGTTTTAAGTTATCTTTGGTTGCTGCAACAGGGAGTAAACAGAGATCAGGACTCTATGAGACTAAAAGAATTGTGGGCAGAGTCAATACAGGGAAAAAAAATTTGCCTTCACTTTCATTTCTGGGAAATAGCTGAAGTTACTGAATCACAGAGTGGACCGGAAATATCTGCTTTTAGGAGAAAAGACTGAACAAGGACAAGTAGCAGAAATGAGAGACTTAAGAAAGTTTTGATCTAATTCTTCTATCTATCCATTGCCTCTGTCTTGAGCAATTGCCACGTCTGTTCAGCATCGTGCACAGCTCTGGGGAAAAAGACAAATCAGAGCCTCACCCTTCTGCAAGCACCTTTCCAGAATTTCTGCATATGAAATATTCTTTTCCCCAGGTTGCTTGCCTTGTCACAGCAGGTAAATCAGGAGGCACAACAGAAGAAACACACGCCTCAGATTTGCCAGTGCCAGCAAGTGTGGTGACCAAGGAAAGAAGCTGCATGAAGAAACAGTACAGCTTCTCTGCTTTAAAAAAAAAAAAAAAGTGTCTACCTGAAGAAAAGATTTTATTTTGCCCCTGATGTTTGCTTGCACTTAAGCCAGTCATCTGAATCAAAGTTTTCAGAAACGGCTACTATGCTCCAACTTCCCCAGCATCCATCCTGCAGTCTCAGAGCAATATCTGCAATAATGCTGAGCCTCAAAAATAACAAATTCAAATGCAGCTCTCCTTGAGTATGGTGTTACACAATGCCAGGCACTGAAAAAAAAAAAAAGAAAACCAACCATCTTTGTCTTTCAGTTTGGCAAAGCAAGTGCATATTTTGACTTCAGCAACTACTTTAATGATAGGAGAACAGATAGAGATACTAAAAATATCCACATCTCATGTTGCAAAAATAGGTTCAGTACTAATGAAAGACACCGATTCAGACCAAGGAGATCAGAGGAAAGCCCCTAAAGTCAAAGTGAGAAAGTCCAACCCCATAGCAGAGCTGGAGGAGTGCTCAGTAAATAAGGCCCAAGGACTCAGCACTGAACATACGGAAAAGCTTGCTCATTAAGCAAGTTTCTTCGATTCCGTGTGCCAACTGAGGAAAGGGATTACAGGGCAAAACCACCTTGGATTAATCCAGCCACCTGTGTGCTAAAATGGATTTGCTGCTTCTCTTTGCGATAAATCCAGTGAATGTCTCATGAAAAGCTCTTCAGTGTGAAGACTCTGCAGCATGGATGGGAAAACACAAGTTGGAGACTTGACAACACAACACAGCTCTCACTGAGAGTAACAGAATCTGCTTTCCCACAACCAAACTGACGGACTCTCACAATTTCCTAAACCAATCTAATTCTAATACACATGAAATGAAGTTTTGTGAGCAAAGAAACCCAAAGCTGCTGCATCACATTCCTGCAGCCTGTAGCAGCTGGCTGTCCACAGAAGCCATCCACATTACTCCATCCACCACACTGCCAACAAATGCTAGGACATTTCCTTACAGTGACATGGCACCTCGAGCCATGCAAAGGTGATTCGCTGCTCTGGGGCTTCTCTGAACAAATAAAAAACTCTTTCACAAATAGAGTCGAAGTGCAATTGGCTTAAGAGTGAAAAAACCCCAGACCATAACAAAACAGGAACCACACTGCTATCTGGTGGTGTACAGATTGGGCGGAACACACGGATTACTAATAACAATTTATTATCACCAAATTATTTTCTACAGAATCCACCCAGACATTAAGAAACACTAGGAATGTAAAATACTGGATTTACACTTATGGAGGAAAAGAAATGTCAATATCATCCACAAAATTGGGCCTGGCTTTCAGAGGTGTTGATTCCCCACAGCGCCTACTGACTCCACATGGCACTGAGAATATTCAGCACCATGTATGGAGACTTTTGGAAATGAAGTTGCTGAGAAACTAGCTTTGTTGTATAAGAGAACAACAGGTCTTACGAAAAACCAACGGGTTTTAACTAAAAAGTACATTCCTCTCAGAACTAGTTTATTACTTCTTAAGAAGAAAAAAGCCATAGAAAGAATGAAAACATTTCCTTAAAGGATCCCATCACACCCGACTCACTGAAAGCCCCATTAAGGCAAACAACCAAAGAGGGTCCCCAGATTAACCTGTGCTGGGAACCTCATTTCAGCTCTTTCCTATTGAACATTCCCATCTCACTACGCCACTTCCCCCTTCACAGAACTCTGCCTTCAGACAGGCAAAAGCCCTTTTATCCCCTGGACTCACTGTCCCACTTACACCCTCCCAACCATCCACACAGGAGATATCCCAAGCACCACACAGCCTGGCCCACCGCTGAGCTGTCCTCACTGCTCCTTACAACCTCCTGCTGAGTTAGCGGAGCCTCTCTCCAGCAAACCTCTCTACAGTGTGCACGCACATGGAACAAAAATCACTTACAGGACAAATTCCAAACCTACCAAGCAATGAAGGCATCGGTCTAAATCCTCTTACCAGGAGCTAACTTCCCCTTGGTGGACACCACGCGGTGGTAAGCAAGAACATGGGGTGACCATCTCCGTACAGCTGCTAGAAAGCGATGCATGATCCGTGTGGATCTTCAGACTGAAGCTTCAAGACAACAGCAAACGTCTGTGCAAGCACAGAGGCCCAGGAGATAACCCAGGACAATTCTTCTGTCTCAACTGTACCGCAACAGCTCTGTCTGTACGGCAACTTCTTGAAAGGAAGATGAAGTCAGGGCTAGAGCAAAACCAAAATGCAAAGAACTCAGCAACTGAGACGGACTCAAGAACACAACTTTACAAACAACAGCATGCACAAAGACCTGACGTGATGATTAAAGAGGCCAGAAGTTCACTACCTATTGCAATAATAGCTGGGATGGGCAGGGAATCAGGATAGGCCTATCTGCAAAGGAGGGCTATCTCATCACTGGTCCATACACACAGTATTGGCTTGAGTAGCCTTTGTCCTCCTAAATCACCACTTTCTGAAAAGCCTACCTTTAGAGTCCAGCCTAGTATTTAAAATCGGCAAAGCGTGTGGTCTGTCCAATTTAAATTGTGACTGGAATCAGCACTCAGTAAGACTGGATGGCCAATTTATAAGCTTGGCGATGACAAAAAAATGGCCAGAATATGGGATCTTGAATTATACTACTCTTTTACAACCGACATTGTTTTGTAGAAGGCTGGATAAATGGGATGAATTTGCCTATTTTGATTTATGTTTTAAGACATGACCATAAACCTCATGAAATATATAGATTGTTGTTGTATGATGTCGATGGAATCTATCTATTAGCAGAAAGTGTTAATGGAAAGCAAAAGCATAAGAGCTGTTGTAAAAGTTGTGAAATTGGAAAAAAAAATGTAAAAATAAATGTGTTAAGGATGGTGGGGATGCTGAGGATGTGGAGATGTTGATCCCAAAATGGAATCTGGTAAATGTAGAATGAAGGGATGGAAAAAAGAAATCACAGCTACTAGCAATAGTGAAGATGAAGAGCAGTCCACTTCCAGCTCAGGACTGGGAAGCGAGAACTTTAATGTGTACACAATAACTAATGATGATTAACCACCGTCAGTGTACTGCACCCATTGCAAAAATGGTAGCAATGTCCATGTCACAATTGGTAGAAATAGCACGCAAGGTTTACGACAGCAGAGATGAGAGAAGAGGAAAAGACTCAAAGGGAATCATGAAGGAATAAAATGACAAGCCTTGCTGCTGCCTGCGATGATGCCTTGGAGCCCCAGTGGATGTAGAGGAAGGGGCCAAAGTGGAGATGGGGGAAGAGGTGAATGGAATGGAGGATGAGGACGAGGGGTTACCTCCTCAAACTGTATTGCCGTGGGTCATAATCAGTGTGCTTTTTGCAGGAAAGAAGGACACTGGAAATGTGAAAGCCCACAGAGAAAAAATTATTTGCTGAATCCTCAGGAAAAGGGGGACCAGAATCAGATGTTAACCTGATAGTGTTAGGGACAGCTGACACCCAATGAAGGGGACTGGGAGAGAATATGAAGATCTTCCCAGATGATTCCCTGGTTCCTGTAAAGCTGGGGAACAAAGTTACAGATTTCCTAGTAGACAGTGGGGCAACCCATTCAGTAGTAACTAGCTGTAAGGGACCTTCAAGTGAAATGTATATGCCAGTTGTTGGGGTCACAGGAAAGTGAGCTTTTAGGGCTTTTAAAAAACTATGGCATGTACAATTGGAAGTACTGCATTAACTCATGAATTTCTATATATGCCAGAATGGCCCCTCCCATTGCTGGCACGTGACTTGTTATACAAATAAGGGGGGACAGTGTGGAGACCTCCGTGGTGTCTAGTGACTGAAAAGGAGCAGATAGGGACCAGAACCTCAGAAATCATTTTGGATGCTGTAGTACCCCTGGTATGGGACTCCAAGAAATCTGGACAAGCAAAGAACTCTTACACTGGAAAAGGTGAAATTAGGATCACAACCAGTAAGGAAAAAGCAGTATCCAATGAAATTGGAGGCTAGAGCGGGACTAGAAACATTAAGCAACGAAGACAGTGTATATTTTAGAGTGCTAGATTTGAAAGATGCTTTCTTTGCATTCCCCTGGAAGAGGAGAGCCAGAAGATCTTCATCTTTGAATGGGTAAGTCCCACTGCCTACTGTCCTGCCCCAAAGATTCAAGAATAACCCAACCCCGCTCAGTAATGTACTTGCCAACGAATTGGAAGAATGGCAAGGTAAGAATCCCTCTATCACACCGTTGCAGTATGTGGGTGATACACTTTTGGGAACCGAAGCTGAACAGGAATGTAAAATTGCCACAGCTGACTAGCGCAATTTCCTGGGGCTACCTGGATATTGTGTCTCCCAGAAACAGGCCCAGATAGCTCAAACTGCAGTGACTTACCTGGGATTTGGAATATCTCAGGGACAACGAGAACTGAGTGCAGAATGAAAAGAATCTATTTAGTCAAATAGCTCCCCCCCTGATCTAAGGAAGAACTGTGAGGGTTCTCGGGAATTGCTGGATGTTGCAGACTCCGCGTACCAAATTTTAGCCTGATTGATAAACCATTATATGTGGGTATTAAGGGGCCTGGAGAAACTCTGGGATGGACAGCAGAGTGATGGAAAGGATTTGATTCCATTAAGACTGAATTAATGAGAGCTTCTGCTCTGGGTCTGCCAGACTTGAATAAACCCTTCATGTTCTCTGTCCACAAGAGACAACAACAGCACTGGAGGCCCCGACCCAGACTCTAGGAGACCCAAAAAGGTTGGTAGCTGACTTCTCTGAGCAATTGGAGTAAATAAAGGATGGCCTGCGTGTTTGAGAGCAGTAGCTGCAGCGGTGGTGTTAACTAAAGGAGCCCAGAAACTCACCTTGGGACAATCTATCACAGCTTTTGTAACACATGCACTGATAGTTATACTTAAACAAAAGGGGCATCACTGGGTTTCTCCTAGCAGGTTGGCCCAGTATCAGGCAATACTGACTGAACACTACGATGCCACTTTAAGGATGTCTTCAACTTTGAATCCTGCTACTTTAATGCCAGTAGATGAGAGGGGAGAGCTGGAGCATGACTGTCTGCATGTCATGGAACAAGTATACTCTAGTTGACATGATCGGAAAGATGCACCATTAACATATCCTGAAGTTGAACTTTCTACAGATGAGGAAGTAGCTTCATGAGGACTGGGGAACAGAAGGCTGAATACGCCACGGTCACCCCAAAAAAGGATAATCCTCCCTATGGATCCTTATGGATCTGAAGAAAGATTCCAATGCTTCACTTCCTGGTTTCCTGATTTGAGTCTGTGCGTTGGGAACCTTGGGAATTTTAGTTACAGCACTAATTGTGTTTGTATGCCTTTATGTACTCATCCAATGTACACGGAGATGTTGCTTAAGTATGGGTGAACAAACCGTGGAAAAGATGAGACTTATCTAGAAGAATTTAAGTTCTCTAGGTAGTCTCAAAGAGAGGAATTGTCGCCCATATATGTTTCTCATCAAGTACAAGGACCACTAATCACCGTCTCTATCGTGTAAGCCTGATACTCTGTATAAACAATGTGTGAGGGGCTAACAACTATGTCCCTGGATTGGAGCTAAAAGATTGGTAAGAGAGGAACATATTGCCTCATAGTGCACCGAAGGCTGGATGACAGCCTGGGAAGCATGAAGCGAAAATCGGTGGCAAATGGGGGGAAGGTAAAGATGGCAGAGGAAGATCACAACCACCGACTCAATGCAAAACCAAAACCACTTTCCCCTGCCATGCCTGTAGAGAGCGTGCATGCTAATTAACACCGCACCTGAGGGTAATTTAAACGTAACTCACAAATGAGGGACGTGACAAGAAACTAAACAATGGTCGTTACAGTAAATGTGTATCCATGCAGTTTGTGTGGTCTGCTCGCTATCTAAGCCCAGTCCTTTCTGTGGAGGCCCACAGAAGGCATGGGTACCCACTGCTGCTGCTGCAGACACTGCCGA